CCCCTCCTCCTGATGAAAAAGTCAGATGAATGTGACATGAGCGTTCACACTGCAGTCACTTTGAAAACATCAGATATATATCCGATTTAAAACCACATATTGAAACGGCCTGGGTCGGATTTGAAAAAATCAGATTTGTCGCGTTCAGACTGTCATAAAAAAATGGATATGGGTCAGATGGGGCAAAAAAAATCGGATTTGGGTCGGATTTGCCTGCAGTGTGAACGTAGCCTAAGACCCCCTCTGCTGCTGCACAGAGTTCAGTTATTATTAATAATAATTTATTGTAGTAAATTATTATTGATAATTATCATGAGGAGTCCTTAATATTAAGATGTAAACAGTCAGTTTAACATTCACATGTAATAGATTACTATTATAGTTAAAGGTGAGCTGTCTAAATATATGTTTGTATCAAACAAGCAGACCTTCGTGTGACTGCCCTGAAGAAGCTGTCAGTTTCGAAAAGGTCGGTGAACCCTGTCCTACAATAATACCCTCAATTTATACTTTTGGTTTACGAGACTGGAACAGACATTTTATGCTGGTGCTGCAACTTTTTATTCCATGCTACAAAACCAGCAACCTCTGCAGCACCGGTGCTACAAATAGATAACAAATCTAACGTACAGCCCTGATTGTCACTGCAAAAAGGAGATGCATAGCTTCAGTTCATGTCAATGAGCTAATTTTTCTTCAAAAGAATCTCACCTTTAAACCAAGTGAGAACAAAGCTATTTTCAATTTTACACAAGATTTCAACTAAACAAAGTGAGGTGATGATACATGTTCTGTGCTACCTCTTGGCTGCAGGATTGCAGATTTATTACARAAAGAAGGTTGATGATGAAACAGCATCGTGTTGAGTTTTAAAAAAAATAAGTTATCCACAAAATGAATCAAATTATGGAGCCTTATGTCAGAAAAAAATTACCTGCCCTTACAATACAATTGAATTGCCTCAAGGGTTGGGAAAATCAATTCATAGTGTATGAGATCGATTTTTTCCCCGTGGCGTCTTGTGTGTCATGAAGCTGAGGTGCGTTTCTGTATTTTGTGTCACTCCTGGCTTGCCGTATGTTTACATCTGGTTGATGTTCAGTGCTAATGTTAGCGTCTGGCGAGTTGTCTGGGGCAAAACAAAAGAAACTAAGGAATCACTGACCATTACCAGCCGACTCTCTGCAGAACTGTAACAGAGACGACAACTTTTGTTTGCAAAGATTTGTGAGGTAGCAGAAAACAAAAGCTTTGAGCGGCTTGTTCAGGTGCTCAAACCAAAACTACAGCATGTAAACAACTGACTAAAACTGACTGACTCCCTGACACGTACAAATGTGAGAAAGACGACAGTCTAACAAAATCGTTCAGTTTTGTTACCAATATTATTTTTAAACTTGGTCACAGTGATAATGTTGTATCTAGGCGTGTAAATTTGTCTTGAAGCTTGGTGGGGGCGCACTGTGGGGGACAGGGTCTGATGCACCCACAGTTGTGCAACCAGTTTTTTTTTTTTTTTTTTTTTTTTTTTTTTTTGTTTTTTTGCTGTCAAGAATAAAGGCAAAACTAGGGATGTCCCGATCAGATCCTCAGTATCGGTATCGGTGGCAGATATGGTCATTTTTTGAAAATCGTGTAGAATCGGATTTAGTCGTGATCCAGTTTTTGCGACAGTTTTCAGCATCATCATGATTTACAACTGCCGTTAAGAAGTCAAGATGCACACAAGTATGCAACCATGTCCACAGTGTGGGAACACTTTTCAGTGGAAAATGATGATGCTGAAACTGCATCTTGCAAAATCTGCAAACTGGATGTTTCTCGAGGTGGGAACAGCAGGGCTCGCTTTAATACTACCAGCCTTGTCTCTTGGAAAGAAATAAAGAAATAAAGCTATTGGATCGGTATAGGAAAGACTAATCATTTAAAATATCGGATTGTATCGGGAGCCAAAAAATCTGGATCGGGACATCCCTAGCAAAAACATCAATATGAATGCCATATATTTAATGCTTGCCTTACACAACTGTTACAAAATTGACCAATTATTTTTTGTGACAAATTATCACAATATTGTGAGACAACTACACTTGTTTTATAAAGTGCTAAAAATCATCAACATCTCAAAGTGACAGATCATTGCAGGAGAGGGTTGAAGGGAGCAGCATACTTTAATTTTTATTTATTTATTTTTTCCAGAAAACACTTTGAACACTGCAGTTTCAGCCATGCTAGTGCAAATGTAGAAGCACGCAAAGGAAAAAGGTGCGCCAATATAGATGGGGATTGTCCCTGTCAGGCCAAAGTTGGTAGAGACATGTCCACACCAGTCCTTCAGAAAGTTACGCCTATACTTGTATCTTTATTTTTTGTTTTGTTTTGTTTTAATACATTTTATTGAAAATAACAAGAGGTAAAAAAAACATTACAAATAYACAATTTTCATACACTCAAAGAGTGGGCAGGAGTATACTTCCCACCTCTTCTCCTGCAACATTATTCCCATCACTTCTTATTCATCAAAAAATTATTTTTACTGGTAACTTCTTTAAAATTTATATATCCTAGGGATGAACCGATATCAAAATTTCAGCTGATATTGATTTCCAGTATTATTATGTGTTATTGCAGATAACCGATATTACTCAAACACACAAATTATTCATATCTACATAAGCACAAATACTTGAGTCTTTTTTCGATATTGTAAAAAAAAAAAAAACCCAACCGTTGACATGACTCTACTTCAGTTATTCCTGGCTGTACAGCATCATCATCATGACAAAACAGGTATCACTCGACCATCTCCCCTCCAAAAACAGAAACACAAAGCTAAATGGGAAATCAATATCGGATGTTAATATTGGACCAGTTTTACTGATCGGACCGGTACGATATAGGGTTGGGCAATACTGGCAAAAAAAATTAATCACTATTAATTGTGGTGTTTAGCCGATAACGATTAATTTGACGATTAATGCCCTGGAGTTCCTGGACATCCTTATGTCCTGGTCACATGACCAATTTGGTGGGAAAGATTTGGTCTTTGTAAAAATCTTTTTCACAAATTGTGTGAAAATCACAGACTTCAGGCTATACATCAAATTTTAAATTGTGTTGATAGATAAATAAATTACAGAACTTTTGTTTAAATGTTCGTCATATTTGAAGTGGACAGGAGCACCGAGCAAACTGACTGGGGAAATCAGTCAGTCTGCCTGGTGGCGTTAATCGTATTAACCGTCAAATGCTAAAAAAATAATCAATTAGTGTTTTTCTGGCGATTAATTGCACACGATACGATTATGCCCAACCCCAGTACGATATTGTAAAAAATGACCTTTTCGACAAAACCGATGTTAATGCTGATATATCGTGCATCCCTATACCCAACAACACCGTCACTTTTTAATTTAAAACCTGTGAAACTTGAGACAGTTTTGTGTCAAGATTAAACTGTCCAATTTACAAGTTTGCCCTTAAAACCTGAGAAAAAATAAAGTGAATTTGTATTTTCCAACACAGTTGAACAATTTTCATTATTAAAAGAGCAGATCGAATCAAATCAACCACACCACCACAAAAACGTTTCAGGATTTTTTTAGACCCTGGTTTGTCAGGTTTTATGTTTTCACTCAATATTTAGAAAAATATTGTTCTAATGTTTTGTTTTCAGACATTTCATTTCTTTAAAACATTAAAGTAAGCCATCCATCCATTCCCACTTCTTCCTTTCAGGGTTGCGTGGGTCACTGGTGCCCATTTCCGGCTGTCACTGTGCGAGGGGCGGGGTACACGCTGGACAGGTCACAAGTCCATCACAGGGCCACACATAGAGACAAACGAGACGAACAACCATTCACTCTCTCACTCACACCTAGGGACAATTCAGTTACCAATTAACCTAACAGACATGTTTTTGGTCTGTGGGAGGAAGCTGGAGTACCTGGAAGAAACCCACACCTGCATTAAGAGAACATGCAAACTCTACTTAGAAAGGTCCCCAGGCCAGGATTTGATCCAGCAACCTTCTTGCTGAGAGGCATCAGCAGGTTTGTTACAAAAGCCAATCAATATGTTGGTCATGTCATAAAGCAAAATTAAGGCTGATGTTAATGCATTTTTTTTGTGTTTTGAAAATCAAGGGGCATCCCTACAGTAAAATATCAAATGTGACAGGGGATTCACATTAAAACCAACAAAAATAACACCAAAATCATGTGACTAACTGAACTATTAAGTAGGTTACGAATGTTTGTTTAGGTGTAAAGTTCATGATTTCTACCGCAATTCATAGCTGAACCAATAGGGCCTTTGTGACCATTTTGCTTTGTTGTTGTTCTCCATTTTTGTTCTTAACTTCCTTAATTTAAAAGATGTTTCCATTAAATTATAGAAAAAGCCAGGAAATGAATACAATAAAAAATGGACGTTTGTCTTGTAAACAAAGCTGCTCAACCAATGACAGCGTGTGAAATGTGTCACATGACAAAGATGAGTATTAACACACAACATATATGGGATTACTACTTCCACATTTCAGACCATAATCAACTTTGGAACAAAGGCAGATAAAATAATGTAAGCTTATCTATTTAAGGGGTCACTAGAGAAACTCGGATGATTGTGTTTGATCCTACGGCTCTTCAAAACGCATTGACAGAAACGAAAGACTCGAAAACGAGTCTGTAGCTAACTCGTCAGCGTGGTTTATTGAAATCACTTAAAATAACAAAATAGGAGCAAATAAGTGAACACTTGGTGCATCGTTACACAATCCAGTCACAGTAGTTTAGGAAAAAAATGGCCTCAACTGTTGACTAAATGCCAACATCCCCATCACATGTGCGCATTTGGGAATATTGCGACTCTTTTAGCTCCATAGCTTCCTGTCACAGGAGAGCTCCCGTGCAGGTTTCAAAATAAAGCTCGAGACGAATTGAAGACACCTGTGACACAATTGAGATGAGTTTGAGACGTGTTCAAGACGCAACTGCGAATACTGACTATTTTGTCGCACGTTAAACGCAAGTGACCACAATACGACTGCACACCTCTGCGACTCATGCCAGAAAATTGAGAACCTCCACAAGYATTTTGGAACCCCCACACGAGTGCTTTTCGTAAACCAGTCGCAAACCAGTGAGATACTGGGTGTATACAGAAATAGCATCGGCGTTTTTCGGCTGTTTAATTATCACACAGCACACTRGGGGTGTCGAACACAAAAAAGTTCCCCACAATAATCGCTGTAGTCGCAGATAGCGTGGCTGGCTCCACACATTATGTTCTTTCGCCCTTAGTAAACGACCAGTACAAGAGTCCAGATAAACCAGCATCACCGCATTAAACAAACRAGCTTGTGCTCCAGCCTTACCTTTAATAACATTACTAAAAATTGTAGCTTTGAATTCTTCTTTGGCCTTCTGATCGAAGTCCTGCCCATGGATAATACGCATCTGTTTGAGGAAAGTGGACTTGCCGCTCTCGCCCGCTCCAAGCAGTAAGATCTTTACTAGCCTTTTAACGTAAAACTTATCTCGATTAATGCACTTATCTATCTCCTTCGACTTCCGCAGCTGCTCAACCTCGCCGTTCGTAAGGACACAGTTAGGAAAACATACAGATAAAATGGAGCGGGACGGCAGGAAGTCCGCCATCTTTGAAACAATTTCATCGATACAAGTCAGCGAGGAAGGCTGAGCTCACCCAGACCACTGCTGCCTTCACGTGTCGTGGGAATCCGGGGTATGTTGAATATAACCAGAAAAATAACTAACACGTTTTCCACGAAATGAGCGAAAAGCCAAACTTCAAGTTAAGTTTATCAGCCTATTTTTCAAGCCCAGAGTTCTCTTAAAATATGCCGTGTAAAAATGTGGAACAATCAATGTTACACCTCCGCTGTTTGAATATTTAAATACTAAAAAAATGGTATTCCCCGCTATTTTTAACAATACTTTTTGATAAATGGTTATAAACCTATGTTTCAAACTAATAAATCACTACAAGTAGCGTCAGTCATGTAACATTAACCATTTTTCTGTCACAACAAGCTTAGTTTCAGGCCCACAAATTCAACGAGCCAGCATTGAACGCAGCATAAATCAGWGGATCCTCCTGATGAGCGCGCGCCAGCATCAGAGTTTGGGTGGGTCGGATTTTTCTGCAGCATCACCTCTGAGAGCTGATCTTCAGAGTCGGGCAGATATGACCACATTCAGTAAAAAACAATGCGTGGATTTACGTCAAATGTTTTTAATTTTATGTTGGTATTGCCCACTTCCCACTGGCAAAAAAAATGGGCGTGAATGTTTTTGTGTTCATTTGTCTGCCTGTTAGGAAAATATTTCATGAACCACTAAATAAAATGTTATTAAACTTTCAAAGAGAAAGTAATCACAGGATGGACACATACAAKAGCATACATTTTCTGAGTTAAAGCCATTATTGTGCAGGCTAAGGTCAGTTAACTGTGGCAGCCATCAGTTGTAAATACATATCCAAAGATTGTTTTTTGAGTTTCAATGAAATCTGTCTGCTCATTCATGATATTTGACCAGTGCTGGCTCTAGCCATTTTGGTGCCCTAGGCAAGTT